CAGCAGGATAATCCATGAAAGCAACATCTCATGTAAGTTTTGTCTGGTAGAAAACTGGAGAGATTCCAAAGCCCATATTCCGAACATTGCTTCAACAGCATATGAACAAAATATTCTTTTCACCCACAATGCCCCCTTAAGATACAATAGCAACGTGAAACAATTTTTTAGCTGTTCAAGCTTGCTGTAATGGTATAGAGAAACTTTGACAAAGGGTAACAAAACTCTTGTGAGATTGTTCTGTTCGAGATACAATAAGAAAAGCTTTTCAGACTATGTTGAATGTTTACAGACAGCACAAAGTACTTGCACTGGCTGTCCAGCAGTCAGGGACACTGTGCAGAAGTGGCAGCAACAGTAGAAGAGGAATAGTTTAATATAAAACACCTTTAAAATGAATTACAGTGGTAGGGAGGTAAGGGAAAGCAATGCTGAGGAAAGTGATGGGGAGAAAGGATTCATTCCAAGCACATGTTTGTAGATTCTTCCATCTTCTTTATTTGAAATGTCGCTAACTTTTCATGGAACTTAACTTAGAGAAAAATAAATAATTAAATATTTAATAGGCATGTCTGTGTTCATGCTTGTTCTGAGACTAATCGGTTTGGGTTTTTTATTTTAAATTGGTTTGATTCTGTTTGATATAGCTCTTTATTCTCAGGTTAACTGAATATTATTAAAAATAACTTACACATAGTGATATATTTTCTTGATTTTATTGTTTTTTCTAAGAATTTTAAAGTTTATAAAATAGCAACTGATGCCAAATAATGATTCTTCTGATAAACAGTGTGGGTCATCTAAGCTTTGAATACCTGTATTCAGTCTAAAATACTGAAAAGCTCCATCTAATGAGTCCACCAGACCTACCTCCTTACATTGTATTATTGCATGAGAATTTAAACTTTGCTTTTTAAAATGTAAGGTTCTATCCCTCATAGTTATGAAGAAAAGCTTGAAATGTGATCCAAATATATTGTAAAAGTTCAGAAATAGATGTGTAAACAAAAGGAACCCAACCCTAAAAATTTTAAGTTAGCCTCATGATATTTTGGTTTTTGATTGTGGTTTTTGAACATTTGAGGTTGGTGATACTGTTGGCACGCTCACAATCTTAGGCCTAGAGGAAAGGGCTTCAGGGCAAGAGGAGGGCTGTGGAAGCAGAAATTAGCTGTAATCAGAGGAGTTACAGGCAGGCAGTAAAGCCCAAAATGTCTCTGGCCCTTGCTGAAGAGAGTGATGAATAAATGATGTGATACCCTGATACAGAGCATCCACTCAGGAGAAGGCGTTGGCAGGGCTCTTCTGGAATGTATCCGGTTATGGGTGAATCTCTCTTTCTGTGAACTGACAATCCCCCATGTCAACAAGAATGAATCTGACTCGAGGGTTTTTGTGCATGAATAACTGGGACAGTGGGCCAAGCATGAAACTCAGATGGAGTGCAACTAGAGTCATAACGATGATCCGATGTCCTAGGTTTCTTCAGTGTTTCCAATGCAATAATTAAAACCCTGGCTATACAGTAGTGACCCTTCACTTTTATTTTATTTAGAATCTCTTCACACACATGCGCGCGCGCACGCGCACACACACACACACACACACACACACAGCTTTTACATATAACAATCATATTCTGGTGAGCTCGGGGAAAAAAAGCTTTTATTCAATAAAGCTATAAACCTTGAAATTAGAATTGAAATAACACTTTTAATGTGAGTTTGCCCATAATAAATCTTGAGGGAAAATGGATTTTATTACTTACTTATTACACTTCTTTAAAAAAAAAAAAAAGACATAAAAATTGAAGTCATGTGGCTGCACGTTGTATCCACTGGCAGAAAAAACCAGAATGCTTAGTGATAAGAGTTGCAACTCTTTGGTGCCATCAACATGGGAAAGCAGAATTACTAGGTAAGAAAAGGAGATAGAATACCCCCTGCACTCATATTCTCTCTCTCTCTCTCATTTCTTCTCTCTTATCTCTCTCAATATTTCTTTCTCCTTCACACACATGGCAAAGATAAAGGGTAAGGTACTTTGAAAAAAGCTGATGGAAAGTGGAGAAAGAAATTAAGAGAAAGTGACCAAGTAAAGACTAGGGACTATAATCACTGTGGGGACTGGAGTGAATGGGAAGTGACAGCAAATCAACAGACAAGGAATGAGTGGGAATGAGTGAACGACAGGTAAATCAAATGAGGGGAGGGAAGGGCAGCAGGAGAAACTACAGAATGCACCTTTATGTTTTAATGAATACAAAAAATACAGCTTTTATTAGCCCAAATATACTTGTGTTCACCAGCAAATGAGCCCTTATATTTCCTGGTATCCCTCTGAGCATAAATGAATTGGGACTTTTTAACTCAGCTTTTAGTTAAACTGACTGGAGAAACTGGATCACACACACAGAGTGGCCCAGTAAATCAGAGGAAGTTCCTTTAAGAACAACCAGTAGACAAAGCACAGGATCTCCACAATAATTCCCCTGAAAACAGAAGTACAATACACTAAAAAGAGCATAAGATGGGCAGCAGCAGGTGTATACTTACCACTAGAGCAGTTGGGGCCCCCCCAGCCAGGCTCACACTGACAGGTGTTTGGAGCAATACAACGCCCATGGACACATTTATCAGCACAGTGAGCTGTCAAAGAAAGAAATGAATAAAGTAAGAACACTTTAAATCCAGCTCTTTTCCCAATCCAGCTGATTCACATCCTTCTGCCAAACATGTTTTAAAAACAAGAAAAATGTTGGCATTGTCATGTTTGTTAGTTTATCCTCAGATTCATTTTCCAGATGTTGGTAACAAGTATTTGAAGACAATGCAACCTCCTCTCTAATATCAAAATCTAAAAGTTAATCTTATTTTGGCTGCTCAAATACTATGTTATAGTTAGCAATGGGAAGATATTTGAAACTTAAATGAAAAAAGAAACATACACAAGTGTTTCCTGAAACAGAAAGTAAAGCATAATTTCCTTTACACAGCAAACAATATCTGACAACACAACAGTAATTTAATATTCATTTTTATGAGTGGCTGCATGACTCAGAAGCAGAACAGCAAAACTATGACCACTAGAGACATAGAGAATGTAAACATTCAGAATTATCCTACAATTATCATGTTGCAGGGAGCAGGTTGAATTTTTTCTTTTTCTTTAAATAATTAGGGGCTGCTTTTCTCTAGCTATAAACTTTTGGGGAAAGCTTCCAGTTTTCCACTGCAACAGAAAATTCAGAATGTCAAAACTGTTTTCAGTTTATTTCCTCCTTTCTCCTCCTGCTATCCTTTACTACGTCATCATCTTTATTATCATTGCATGAAAGTTTAAATTTCTCCGACTTTCATTCTATTCTTTCAAAACTTCCTCAACACATGAAAATCAGTAAATTTGAAAATTTACTGATTACAAAAAGAAAAAAACGAAAGAGAGAAAGAAGGAAAATTAGAAAGCAAACAGTAGTCCTGGAAATCCTTCTATTGAATTTGGCAGCAAAACAAGAAGAAGAAAGAGAGAAAAGGCTTAAAAACAAAGTGAAAATATGAAACTAATCAAGACATGTTTCATGTCCAAATTCAATTTCACAAAATCATTCTGCTTTGGCATAAAACTTTTTTTAAATTTTCCAAAATTGTTTTTTCCCTTTTTATTAGTCCATCCTGCTGCCAAATTTGGAGGAGAGTTCATCCAATCTTTGGAGCATAGGAGTGGAAAGCTATATCCTGCCTATGACACTCACATTCTACCCTCTTGGACAAAACTCAATCTTTCTTTTTCAATTTCCTCATCTATAAAAATGAGATATATAATGCTTGCACACCCACATCACAGGTTATGGTGAGAATTAATGTTAGCACTTCCAAAGCTTTTTGAAGGTATATAACATTGTATAATTATTACTGATGAAGAATTAAAAGTGGTCCAGCTGCTGGAAGAAGCATGTTTTGTTAGCATGGTTTGCACAGGGAAAAAAGAAGCCAAGAAGCTAATGGAAGGCAGACCAGAGAGGGAGCAGCATAAAGAAGACCGATATCAGGCACTGGTCAGGAATCTTCTCAGACTGTGGGCTAGAATGACCCAGCTCAGGTCAGAGGTAGGCAGATACTAGGATTTGTCTGCTGCTGCCACTTCTTGGCATGCTGAAGCTTTGCGTCTATGAGATGGATTCAGTGGCTCCATGGGCCAGAGGTTGCCAGCCCTGGAAGAGGGGGATAATTAGGACTGTCATAAAACCATGACGCTACTAGACAAGGGAGCTCCATGGAAATGAAATTAAGAGAGATCTTTGTGGACAAAAAAGGGAAAATGCAGACAAGACAGCATTTTGCAGTATGTGACATTAAGCTGTTGTCAATCATAGTGGCTGACAAGTCAATACGAAATCCCGCCCTCCCGGATATCTAACATTATCTAGTCAAGTCCTTAGTCCAGGGACCTAATCTTTCTCAGAGACCAGCCCATTATTGGTACTCTGAAAGAGTCAGGAATAATACACAAAGCTAGGCACAGAACAGTTCTCCCAGCCTGCAAATTTTTTTTGCTATTTCCATGTCATTTCTTCATTCAGATTTTTTATTTTTGCATGAAACAAAAGAAGGGAGGACAGAGGAAGCCAGTGAGAGAGAGTTCTGCCTCAAAATAGACAAATGGAATAGGGACTGGAACACAGAATATCTCCAACATCCCAAGTGAGTGCTGTAGCAACTAGACCATTGCCCAAAGCTACTGACTATTCTGAGGTTTCTTGTTCACATGCATGTGTTCAGACCAAAAATCCCATTCTTGACCACAGAAAGATTTCACAATCCAGGTTCCACCAAAATGTTTCCTCAGGAAAACGTGGCACTTCAAGAAACAAGCATTTCCTAATGAAAATCATCTTGAAATATTTCCAATCAGTTTTAGCAAGAAATAAAATACCCCAAACATTGATGACTGACCTCACTATCTAGCACTTCTGTTCCTAGTGAAGAAAAACAGATAAAGGAGAACGCAAAGGAAGGAAGAGTCCCCAGGCAGCAACACACGCTCTTGACAATTTCAATTTCAAATTATATCAATCTGTATTACAATAAATGTTTTCTCCAAACCCAAGATGACTTTGAATTTAAGATGACCCCAATAATTAGATTCTATTTGGGAAAAAATATGAATTTTCTTATAATTTTCTCTGTATAGAATCTAAGTATTGGTGAGTTATCTTAAAATTGTCCATTCCCCCTGTCCCCATCACTGCAACAGAGAAAGCAGTGCTCAGGAGGCAGGTAGGCAGAAACCCCACCCCTTGCCCTCCCAACTCCTTGATCTCTGTGCTTGCTCCTGCCCCACCAGCCACTTACCCACCCTGCTGCCTGGCCCCCTGCCCATCATCCCCCTGGCAACTTGCCACCCCTCAGCCAACTGCCCTCCATACCCCAGCCACTTATCCTTGGCTGCTTACCTTCTGTGGTGGCTCTGGCTCCAAAACAGTCAACAGCAGTGGTGGCAGCTCCAGCCCCAGCCCACCCAGGGGGAGCTCCAAGCTGGGCTGGGTCAGGATCAAGGCTGCAGCCAAAGCCGGAGCCAGAACCAAAGGTAATCAGGGAAGAGAGGGAAGGCAGCACGGGAGGCAGGCTACAGGGTCTTCTCCATACACCCCCTGAGCTGCAGGTCATGGGTCTCCCTGACCTTGCCACGTGGTCTCTGCTGCACTCCCTCTGCTGCATGCCACCTTCCCCACAGCACAAGCCACCCCTCACTGGGGCTGGTGGTGGCTCAGTTCTAGTTTGCCCTGGACCCACAAAAGCTTTTCCTCCTCCCCCCCCCCCCCCCCCCACCCCCCACCATTGATTGGGGAAAAGGAAAAAAGTCATTTTCAATTCCAACAAATATCGTAAATAGTTGTAATTTTCAAGAAGTATATATGGTACAGTAATTCTCTCTCTAACATCTCCAAACACAACAGGAATCTGATCACTTATGCTAATCAGAGATGAACCTCTTAAGGAAAACAGTTCAGGGGCTGTTTGCAAACTGACCTTGTGCTGAGTGAGCTGGGAAAACTATAACTTCATTAGGCAAAAAAAATCAGTAATTCCAATGATTTTTTTCTAACCAAGCAGGAAGAGCCCAAGTGATCATCTGTAAGCTTTGAATGATAAAGAAAAATGAAGCCCACAGAGATCAGTCTGATAAAGACGTGCCTCATAAATCACTGAAGAGCCCCAGGCTGTTGACCTCATAGTTTCACAGCCTTTTTTTTCCTCTCTCAACTATTATTGCTGTTAAGTCCTTTTTCAGACGTGAATTAAAATGATCTTCATTAGAAATCAATGATGGAAAAATGTATTTTTAAAGCGCCAGTTGATAGAAAATATTAATATAATCTCACTGTTTTCTTTGCTTAATTCATAAAGAGTGAAATTAAATAATACATCACCAGCCTTATAACTAGATATGAACTATCTGAATCTTTGAAATTTCTTGTCTGAAATTAAGGTTGCCTCAGGCATTAGAAGAGCTGGAAGTGCTCCCTGAGCCAAATCTACTATAAAACTTACCAATGAACCATACAGCAATTCAAGGTACTAGCAAAATAATCTAGAAAAAAAGATTCCTCTGCAGTTACTTAACTAACTTGTAAAAGCAGTACAGATATCAGACTTTTGTTGGTGTTATTTCTATGTATTCTATAGTACGAGTAGTGGGATCGATACAACTGGGACCCAACCCTGAGGCACATCATACAGAAATTTGGGTTTAGTATGCCTGCCTACCCACACATCATCAATGTCAGTCTCCTGGATTTGGGGATGAGCCAAACAAGGTACGCAAGACAAATCAACCCAGCTTCAGCCTGAGGAGACAACAGTCAAAGAATTCCTAACACTGTGATGAGTTTTTATCTGACTCACCAGGCAAATTTGTGACAAAAAGCTTTGGCTTTATTACTGGACACATACCCTGTGATCTCTACTTCTGTCACTCTTGAAGCTAAGCTGCCAAAAGTCTTGCCCATACAATTATCAAGTTTCACAAACATATGAAATAATATAAACTCTGCTCTGAAAACAAGACAATTCTAGCAGGCACTGACTGAATCTATAGCAAACAGAAGTTTGGCTCTGTATTTTAAAAAGAAACAGGAGTGTACAATGCAGAAGGCATCTCCTAAATTAGGACTCTATTCTCGTCTCAGTTTCAATAGTATAAATCCAAACTAATTTCAACAGAGTGCTAGTTCAGTTTTACAGCAGTGTAACATTGATCAGAGATAAGCTCACAAGAATTCTCTTACTACTAAATAACTCGGGGGTAGAATATTTATGGGGCTTGTTCCTGCATTCCTTGCATACTCCAGACTCCTCAACTGGCCGCTCTTTAACATCACAAGAAATGCAGGATCAGGTCCATTGACATCAAGGATGTTGTATGACAAATGCCATTTCTTCCAAAGGCTGTAATAAAGATAAATTAAAATTTCAAATTAAATCCTGTCCCCTAGCCCCCAACAAATGTAAATTTCCTAATGGAAATGTGTGTCTTATATACATAAATGCATAAGGAAATGCACATCACTGTTATTTCTGAGACGTTAAACTGAAGTTGACAGGTGTTTCAGGCTTATAGGAAATGCAGGATTACATCCTATGCATGC